ATCATGTACACTACTGGTAAGGTAAGGTGATATTGAGTTATGAACAGCGAAATAGCAGTAGGAAGTTAAAACAATAATTTGCTGAAGAAATTGAATGTACGGACGTTGAACTCGATTTTTCATTCAAGTATGTTCTTGCTCCATGAAATAAAGTGAAAATAATCTGTAAGAAAACCCACACATAGAAGACAGAAAAAAGCGACAGGCATCCATCCTCCCAAAGATATTGTGTACAAACTTAATACAATTAAAAAAAGTTGATTTACAATTAGCCCTCCAGCGAATGCAACAGAAACTCCCAGTGTTTACTAATCAACACTGCCATCTTGGGGTACAATATGTTTCTGCAATAAAACGTCACAGTTTCCATCTCTTTTGAAATGTACAGGCATACTATTTGTTTCTGAGTAGTTGGAGTATTGATTTGTATAGGCTCAGAAAACATGTTTTATATTAAAAGAACAGGTGCTACTGGTGAACACTGTCATTTTTGTATCGTATGTGTCATTTAACTTATTTTGACCCTTCATTTCATACACTGAACACATTATTTTCAAGAGGGTGAGGACCTACACCCAGGATTTGTAATTGATTCGTTCAATATAACTATTATTGGCCAAATGAGGTTATATACTTTTGCAAATGGAGTGTGCAGTCCACAGACACAAGTATATGAAGTATGTGATCAGACCACATTCAGGAGCACTGCTAGAAAAGCTGGTCATCCCAGTGATTTAACTTTAAGGGTTGTTAGGTTGCCGCACACTGAACGTGGTCAATGTACCTTAATCATAAGAATGGAAAAAGTCATTTCAGTATTCAAAACGTATTTTTTGCGATGATTATGCTATACATTCTTTGTATGGAGCTTTTTGATTGATTAACAACTACAACTGCTATTTTATTAAACATTTTATTTAACCAGGTCTCATTGAGATTAAAATCTCTTTTTCAAGAGCGACCTGGGCACGAGGGCAGCATGAACAAATAAAACACAGACAATACAGGCAGACAACTACAGCTGTCGTAAAGTAAAACTCAACATTTTTGTCAACATTTTAGTTGTAAAGTTTATGTAAAAATCCAAGCTGGAACAATATGTTACCTGGTTAAAATTCAAAGCAAAATGGGGACTAAATGGATTTTAGCAGAACATTTTAATATGGGCAGAAGGAAAAAAAACTTCAACATGTATTGTGATTTTAATATAAAATGAAAACAATGGAACAACACTTTTACAGAATTTTTTTAGTCCAACTGTGTATTGAACAACTTTTCGCATAGCCTGCAGCAGTCAAATTGTATTTTACATGCGCTTATAACCCCACCCCAAAAACTGAGCAGCGCTCGTTTAGTCTTGAGGGTCAGGTCCAGGTGTTGTTGCCAAGGGCTAGTTTGCCGTTTCTGGAAAAACGTTTTTCCAGAAACGTGTATTTCACACACAAAACTATATGAAAACTTGGTGATATACAGTGGCATTTTTTCCTGGAGACCAAGGGAAAACAGGCTTCTCCTGTTTTTTCAGCCTTTGTTATCATTTAGATAATTAAAAATATATATTCTTGTCTGTGGTTCTTTTTGTGTTCAGGGCATACAAGAGGTCTAACATTATTTTAATACCAAAACTATATTGAAATAGAGTCTAGCTTGAACAGCAACTAAGTAGCTGTAACATTACTGGGTTATTTGGTGATAACTACCAAAGTAAAGTAACTTCAGACGCAGACGTCACGTAGCTTCTCAGACGACAGTGTCACGTTACTTCTCTCGCGGCATAGTTCACGGCATGGTAGGCGACCTGGCGACTATCGACACGATGGGCTGCTCAGTTAGTTCAGTCTTTGGCACAAATCACACCTCATAGAACTTGGACCTCAGAGGAATCAACAGATTCCTGAAGGTGCTGCCATTCTATATGCTGACCACAGCACATGCACAGGTTGGTTCTCAACCGTGGACTTGAGGGATGCCTACTTCCACGTGGGCCGGGCAACATGGTGCCTTATATTCAGCTCCTCCGGCCCTTGGGCAGACTGGCGGCTGTCTCGGCCGCTGGGCCCTTAGGCCCGCTGTCGTTGCGCCCCATGCAGATGTGGCTGAACAGCCTTCACTTGGACGCCAAGTGGCACAGGCACAGGGAAGTCAGGGTGTTGCAGCGTTGCCTCCACTCTCTGTCACGCTGGAGGGGCAGGGCCTATCTCCTGATGGGCGTGCCCATGGGCGCCATCCCATCCCGCCAGGAGACCATCACCATAGGTGCATGTCTCTCAGGGTGGGGTGCAGTGCGGCAGGGCAGGACCGTTCAGGGTCAGCGGTCTGCCCAGGAGGGTGCACGCCATGTCAACGTGCTAGAGCTTCGGGCTGTGCAGCTTGCACTCACGCACTTTCTACCCCAACTGGTGGGGTGCCACAGGTCGGTGTCCCTCTTTATGAGAGGGGCTTTACGGCATGGCCGGATGCCCTATCATCTCCTCCCTTCAAGCCCCTGGCCCAGGCTTAGGTGGCTGCCCACGAAGGCAGCATTTCTGCTTGCCATAGCCTCAGGGAAGCGAGTTGGGGAGTTGCATGTCCTCTCCATAAACGACACATGCCCCAGGTGGGACTCTCAGGTGTTGCCCTTTGGACAAATGTGGCATTCCTGCCCAGGGTCCTTCCACAAACCCACTTCAATCAGCCTGCCCAGCTGGCACGCTTTGACATTCAGGAGTACGGCACGTCGAAGTTGCTGTGCCCTGGGGGTGCCCAAAGGGCGTATATCGAGGCTACTGCCCGTATACGGCAGTAGGAGCAACTCTTGATTTTGCCATGGCGGCACTAAAGGAGGTTATGCCCTCTAACCAGTGGCTGCCCCACTGGGTTGTCGATACCATCTCACAGGCTTACGGGGAAAAATCATGTATTGAAGTCAATGGAGAGAGAAAGATTATCTTTTGATCCCGTTTGAATTGTGCCACGAATTACACATATGATGTTTGTCAATTTAAAAGATAATTTTGCAAGTCAAAAAAAAAAAATGGTCGTAAAACTGTGAAGTAACACATTTGTTTGTGTGAAACGGTCAATGAACTGCATCTCTGGTCTTGCACAACAACACATATCACCAAGATGGTCGTCACTACTGTCTTGCTAAACAAGGGATTAACTACCCTCACTATCACCACGTCCAGAAGAATGTCATGAAAAGCTGCCTGCCTGCCTTCCTTTGATTCTCTCTGAACTGCCTGGTCTTTTTAATGTTTAATGTCAACCATTTGTGCAGATAGCATGAAGTAGAAAAGATCGCCGATGCTAATGTAGCGTTAGCGTTAGCACTTCTCCCCCGGGCTTAAATGGTGTATTATAGAATGATCACACCGGTGTGACAGTAGCCTACTCTTCAAAGGGTTCACGAAATATGACTACTACTCTTACTGTTTAACATTTTGGGTTACTTAATGTTACTTCATGTTAAGGCTAATAAGAGATGTAGTTCAATGACCGTTCCACAAAAAAAATGTGTTACTTCACAGTTTTACGACTTTTTTTTTTTTTGACCGGCAAAATTATCTTTTAAATTGACAAACATCATATGTGTAATTCGTGGCAAAATTCAAACGGGATCAAAAGATAATCTCTCTCTCCATTGACTTCAATACATAATTTTCCGAAATAAGGTCCCATGGAGGTCCACCGGAAGGGGAGGGACTTCGCCACTCTATGGCAAACCAAACTCTTACTACGGTAGTGATTACTGGTGTCAATAAAAGAGTGGTAGACATTTACTATCCTATGTCGTATACAGATAAAAAAGACATTCCACACACACAACTGAAACATATTCACAGACAATTTAATTTGGATTGAAATTATTCCACATCATGGTTTTTCCTGTTGAAGATATTTTTTGCATTCTCATTACAACAGCCAGAGAGCAGCAGCAGCGGCAATAATAATAACCTAGCAGGAGAAGCAGATCAATGGCGGAAAAAAGAAGAAGAGAGAAACATGATGGGTGCAAGTTTTTCAAGCTCCACAAACATTTTTTTTACAAGGAATTATGGGAAAAAAGAGTAGTCTTTTCAGTCCGTCAGATTTGTCAGGATGTGCAACATCTGACCCTGTTCCTTCTATAACAACTACTAAGACTTGAGCGCAGCTGTACACATGTTGGACATGGTAGAAACTCTTAAGAGCTAGAGTAGAATAATAAACATCAGAGAGGTAATGCGGAAAACACAGTGAGCTCCACAGGATACGGAGACATGACAGAAGAGGCAGTTAACCATCACATGTTCCACAGTAACACAGCTTTCATTTAGGGATGCACTCCTTAGATGCCACAATGTTTTCTCTTTATTATTCCTTTTTTTATTCTCTTGTGTCAGGGAAACAAATACATCCTTATAAAGAACATATGAACTGTCTTTTAGCCCTTCTTCACACTTACTTTGAATGTGCACAGATTACTCAGTCACTTTTGCAAAAGCCTTTTTACTGCTAAACAATTACCTGCTCAATGAGAATATTTGAAGTAACCGTCAGTTTGACTTTCTTATCATCCGTCATAATATATTCATACATGACCTTTTTGTGATAATTAGACATTTAATAGCTTTAAATTGTCACGTTTTGAAGTTGGAAAACATTTCTCCCTGGGAAGTGATCAGTAGTTGCCAAGACTCTGAACGTTGGATTTGCATTTACCAATCAGGGTGAACATATGCCGATGCCAATGTATGGCCGATGCATTGGTGCATCCCTACTTCCATTATAACCTCAAACAGTCATAGTCTGGACAAGTGGGGGATGAGTTCAGTGTCCACTTATTTAAAGGAACAGTTGGCTTTCAGGCCGAGTTAGGTGAGAAGGTTGATGGCATTCTTATCTCTTATTGCTTTCAATCTTCTCATCTAACAACCTTTAAAAAGTTCTCCTATTTTACAAAATCTCAAACTATTTCTTTAAAATGTTTAGACTTAGAACAACAGGATAAAACAAAATGACACTAAAGTTACACGGGATTATCTGATGTTTGAAAAGCAACAACTTTATTTTAAAATGATAACGGTCAGTCAGTGTGGTCCACCTCTGATATGATTATCTGGCAGTATTGGTACACATTCTTGAGGAAACAATAATTATTTGCAAGTTTTATTCAATATTAAAATGGGAAAACTTGAACGATTGAATCCCAGTTAGAGGCAGCGTCAGTCCAACAGTACCAGCATTGGTAATGGCTGTTTAAAAATCAACAACAATCAAACCCGAACTGCCTCGACCTTCAGGACGGGTCAGGACTATAGCTAGATCTTGGCCACTATGATCAGATATAATTGGATTGGATATCTCTAATTCAGTCCTTAACCTCAGTGAGATAGTGATTCGACCCTTTATCATATATCAATCCTTTTATAAAACAAAAATACAAAATAAAAATAGATCACACAGCAACATGTACATGCAAAAACAAACAAAAAACAAGAACACAAGAATTTGATTTAAGTGAAGTGATAAAATAAAAGATTTTGGAAACTAAAGATATTATGAAAACATAATTTGTTAGATTACAGTGCACTTTGTGTGAAAAAAACACCACACACAAATAAGATAAAGGCAACACCAGCCTGCCAATAAAAGGTGGAGGGGGTTGAACAAAAAATGAAAGAGAAGAAGGGAAGAGACGACTATATACACTTGTATATCATACAGGATATGAAAAAGCAGGAGGTCCTAAAACCGGAACCAAAGATGGCCGTACATAAACCGAATCTACAAGCCAAAACTGTCATGGCACCTAATAAATAAGAAACAAAGCATCTCATAGTGGACGGCATCCTGTCCTCTGCTGCAGCCGTGGTGTTGGTTTAACAAACCCTAAGCATTTCGGAGGTCGACACAAATAAATAAAATGGATGGGTGCAGTCAGAGCAAGGCTGACTGGAAACAGAGAGGAAGTCTGACATGTCTTGCTTTTTATAGGGCCAATGCAACCCAAACCACATCTAGACAGAGAGGAAAAGGAGCTTCTGATAAACTGGGCAGTTACCACATCATATGTAATGCTGCCACAATACCAACAGGCAACATTTTGAGGGAATGCAGAAAGGCAGATATGGCCAAAAGGTGCCTTTTTCCTATCCTTTGTCCCTTATAGCCCGTGAAAGAATATGTACAATGATTTTGTCCCATCCACTGATGACAATTGTTCACCCCAACAGCCTAAGAATGTAACCCATTCATTATGGCGTAATATAAGAACAGCAGAACAATTTAAAACAGGTGGTGTGACATATAGTAAGATACCAATAGGCCACTCATCCACAGCTCCATTATAGGCACTGAGACTGCTCCCCCTGACCTCAGCTAGGGGTCAGTGACGTGAATCCAAACAGTGTCAGTGTCTATCCACAGGCAGCTTCCACTTGAAACTTCGTCAGTACTGAAAACACACTTATGTTTGCCCAAAGACACAAGTGCACAAACATAAACTGAATTCAATGACAAAGTTTGGCAAGTTGCATTTCTTCTTTTTATATCTCCGAAAATATCAAAGAATAAGAAAAAACACAACTCTCAGCTGGTGATGGTTCAGGTCCAATTTGAGTCCACTTCACAGATCTATGTTACCATCATGACATTGTACAGAGAGATCTGTGTATGGGGCCCTCTTGGGGGGCTTGTGTTGTATCTTACAAAGAAAGACAACAGGGCCTGTGTACTTCATTATCGTAAGGACACAATCCAAGAGAGACAGAGTTAAGAAGGCTTTAAAAAAAAACATATAAATATTAGGCAGTCCCAGACAACCCAACTACTGCTACACAACGGTTATTAAATAGTAATTGGAGATCATCAGTATGTACAGTGAAAACAAACGAAAAAGGAACAAATGTTGCCGTTGAACTTTCCTGCAGAGTTTCCAAACTGTTTCCAAAATATCATCACTGGGTGTTATCATCATATATATGTTTTATAAAGAAACACACAATATATGAAAGCACAGATGTCTGGAAAAATATGTCCATTCAAGTTGATAAAAACCTTCTTTTTTTTTGCGAGAACCTGTCATGAAAGATAAACAGGCACAGTCTTGCAACTCTTTGTTTCTAAGAGGCAGCACCTCTGTTTCCCAATAAAACATTTGAACATATTAGAATCACAACCTGAAAACTAAAGCCAAAGAGTGTGAGAGTGAGGACTGAGGTTCAGTTCAACACGTCTGCTTTGAGAGCTACTTCGCAGATCAGTTTGGAGAAGAACTGGAATGTAAGCTGCGGTATCCAGCTTTCATGGTACAAGCGCAGGAGAGAGAAACAGATGGGAAGGCTCAGATCTTCCTCACGACACACCAACAGCGGTGGGAGAGCATCGGCTGGAGAGCTGCACCTGGACTGGACATGGGAACTGAGAGACATCTGAAAGACTGGGCAAAAGCTCAGCCAGAGAAAAGTGTCCTGCATGTCACAATGTAACAGCGGTTCGCTTTTCCTCTAATCATCAGGTCCTTGGAATATTGGTGAAAAGATAAGGGAAGCTGCAAGTCAATAAAGATTCCTTGTGTTGCTGACAGTTGATACCCAGTGATGATGTCATTACAGGGGTTGTGATGTAGCTTGTGAAGGCTCCTCCTCTGGTCACATCAGGTGATATTTACGCGGGGATGATGTCACATTTCCTGGTCTAATGATGGGCAACGATGGAGATGACATAACTACACAATATTCTTGTCATGAATTGGAGCCTGTGTGCAGTGTGTGCATATGTTGATGTGTCTGCCTGGTTGTGTGTAAGGGTTGAGTGAGCCTGGTTGATCACCAGGCCTCTGTGTACCGAACATCAACGTCTTTCAGGTTAGGCAGTTTGGCCTGCAGAGAAAGACATAGATGAAAGGAAACTGCATCAAAACCTTGAAACATACACTTACTCCGTTTTCACTATATCAGTTTAAAGTTAGCTCAAATTTCAGAACACATGCCTATTATCCCCGTTACCCCAAGACAGATAACAATTACTTTGTCATTATAGCTGCATGTAAACTATTGCATGTAAGTTTATATGAAAATATAAAAATTACATTGGTGTTTTTTTTTTAAACAAAGTTTAGATTGAAGGGGTAGAAGGTCGACCCAAATTATTTTCCAATAAATATTGGGCAAATGACCTTTGCAGTTAATATGAGTTGTGTTATAGTACTACCTTGAGGTCCTCATATGTGTCAGATGTGAGCTTGGTGCTGTTCATGTTCAGACTGCAAAGACTCTTCATGGCTGAAAGAGGAAAGTAATTAGCATCAGCCACAATGGACTTCCAGATTTACAAAGCACTGACTGACACCGTTCACATGATGTCCTTGTCCTCTGCCAGACTGCTCATTCTGTTTAAGCAATGATGATCTTGTGATGCATAACATGCAGTTAAGGTGTTCATTTTGTGTGTGTTTTCTTACAACTGAGAGCGAGCAGACCAGCATCAGTGACTGGAGTCTCACACAGGTTCAAAACCTGAAGACAGGCCAGATGCTCAGATAACAACCTTAACCCTGAATCCCCAAACTAAAAGAACAAAAAGATAGACAAAGACGGAACATACATTAGACATGTATTGGATCATTAGTTATTACTAATGTGACTTAGTAGATGTGTTTGTGCTGTACCTGTGTGGACCAGAGGTTGAGCTGTTTGAGTGAAGGCAGCTTGATGAGCTGCTCGGCACAGGCACTGGTTACGTTGGTGAAGGCCAGGCTCAGGTTCTCCAAATTCCCAAAAGAACCTGAACTCAACAGACGGGCAAGGTCTGCATCCTACATGTGAGGAAAAACACATTCTATACTGAAATAGTTAACGCAAGTATTTCTATCTAACGTGTCTCTGTGTGCTGCAGTGAAGGCATCAGTGTAATCTCACCGTGGATTTTGAGGGCAGAGTAAGCCGGGTGGGGCCTCCTTTCCTTTGCTGAAGAGAAAAAAGACAGAAAGAAAGATGGCGTCTGAGCTCAGCAGCCTGCAGAAACATTTTCAGACAGCAGATGGTGTGTGTGAGCAGCTGATCCATGTCATTAAGAGGAAAAGGGATGCGAGGTCTTAAACAAAATAATGATGAAAATATTTTGTCAATGTTTTGTCCTCTTACATATATTATATAATTTACTCTAATTTAATCACACTTATTTAATAATTGAGTTATATAACATATCCCTTTTGTTTGATGGTGTGACTAACTGCAGTGGACTTTCACAACGTAGCCTTGGAGTACATTACCATGAATATAATATAACTACGTTAGTTTTAAATCATGCCTATAAAAGTATTCATAACTGTGTGCGTGTATAAAGAAGATGTGTTCTGTAATTTAACTACAGAGAGAGTATAATGACAAGAAAGATCATTCTGGCTCTGATTCTGAAACTGGAAGGATGAATACAATACATTGCTTACATATTTATGAACACAGCTGCTTCAATTAAGATTTGTTTATGTGCTATGCATTAAGTATATCAGTTATCTTTCCTTTGTGTTTAAGTGTGAATAAAGTGCACATTCATTGGTTGCTGCCTTGGGATAGCTCTACAGCTCTGCAGACAGAACTAAGTGTGTGTGACTGAGTGTGTGAGGCCTCCAGCATTTAGCTGCAGATAAACTTGCCTTTCAGTGTTCAGTTTTCGAACATATTGTTTTGGTACAATGCAAAAGCATTAAGACCTCATTGTAGCTGCTTCCAACTGATCATTTTTGATTGCAATTCACTTAAAATTGAGTGACCAACGTTGGCTTCTTTTTCAAGTTTCTGTGTTTTCAGCTGTTTTGTTGCTAATTTTGAAGAAAGAAACCATTTTTTGAATTTCATCTGTAATAACATCATTTTTTTATTAAAGGTCCCATGTCATGCTTTTCCGGTTATTACCCGTCCCCTTGTGTGTTATGAAGGTTTTTATGCATGTAAACGGTGTGCAGAGTCAAAACCCTCAAAGTACACCCTGTAGCGAGTAAAACTCTAAAACAGAAAATACCTCCCCAAAACGCCTCGTTGGAGATACGTCACTGTCCATTTGATTCTTCCGGGTACATCATGATGTCATGTCGTCCCCGGAACGAAATCGACCAATCCGTGGAGCCGTTACGTTACGTCCGCGGAGCCGTTACGTTAAGCCCCCGCTGATTGGTCCAAATTGACCAATCCACGGACTTCCTCACACACTCAGTGCAGGCAGCTCTGCTGATTTCTCCTCCCTGGCTGCAGGCTGATAACAGACAGTTGGGAACGCGGCGAAATTCTCTCTGCAGACCCATTCTCACTGCAGACCCTTTCTCTCTGCAGACCCATTCTCTCTGCAGACCCATTCTCACAGCGTTTATCAACCTTTTTCTTACTCAATATCAAGCCACACTTATTGTTTTTACTTCGGCTGTGACTTTGTGTGTGCTCAGGGTGAGTTTGGCTGTGTTTCGCTGTGTATCGCGAAACAAGGAAATCACACCTCCACGGAACTCAGCGCTATTCACAACGTCCCGACTGGTCCCGACCAATCGGAGCACACTGGGCTCACAGGGAGAGGGGGGGCAAGAGCTGCAACGAGCCGTTTAGTGGAGAGAGTGAATACTGCTGAATACACATACTATACAGAGATGCTGTATGCGAAACCAATGTGAGTTTGGAAAATTGAAAAATTGAAAAATCTATTCTAGTAGACCTCAACAATGGAATTATGATCAGTGGAAATGGCCATGACATGTGACCTTTAACAAAATATGCATAAGTAATATTTATGAAATTAAAATGTCATTTTTAAATCTCAAGCACCCCTTGCAGTACTCCAAAGCACCCATAGGGGTACTATTACCACCATTCAGGAGTAGTCAAATGATGATAAAAGCAGGTGATGGGCGGAGGTGACAGGTTCACAAACTTGACTTTATGTCCAACAAAACATGACTAGCTGTGACATGATGATGGCAGCATATCATGTTGGCTTCTTCCTGTCTGAATATTACAGGCTGTTTCTTTCTCTTGTAATGATCATCTAAATATTAGAGAGTCTATTTCCCCTTTGCCCTGCATCGTGTGCATTCTTTGAAGTTGTTTTAAGATGGTCCTTGGGATATGACATTTAAAGTAAGCCACTGTAAACTGACTCCAAAATGGAGAGATCTCTGTCATTAGCAGATGTAAACCTGTGTTGAAAGAAGCTTACATTGAAAAGCTTCTAAGACATACATCTGTTAACATGATGAAGAGAGTGTAGCATCAAGCATTTACCCTATGTTGGATAGTGTTGCCACAAATAGCACAATTGTGAACACTTTTAGTTTTTGAATCATAATTAAAAAAAAGTTAATCAATAAAAATGTCAATGAAAGGCAGTGGAGGATAAAAAAAAACCCATAAAACAACAGGTGTGATTTATTGTACCATAATGGTTACAACAGTTGAATATCCAACCAGGACTGAAGAAACTCTAAAGTTAAGATCAGCTCTAGGTTCACGTCTCTTCAACTTGGTTGTGCTACTGATGAGTGCGAGCTGAAACAACATTTGTTGAGTTGCCTCATTTAAGTTCTCTTTCATAAGCAGTTATGAGGGCTTCTATGGTGAAAGGTAAAAACAATAAGAGGCATTCAAGCACAGACACTGACGTTGACAATGTAGAAGGGTTCAGATTGACCCGCTATTAGAATGCCTTGATTTTCAAGGTAAAATGTTCTTTGAACAGTGAGTTTTGATCGCACAGGGATGAAACATATACCAATAGAATCTGTGGACTCTCAGCTTTTCATATGATATTAACAGGGCTCGACATTATAAATGGCCCGCTGGCCCAGAAGCGCGTTTCATGAGGCGGTTGTCGGTTGTTGGGTGAAAAGCAAACAGCTGTTTGCTGCGGAGCGCAGCGCGAGCAGTCTCCCGTGAGCGGGAGCGCACTCCTTCACTACAGACTGTCGCTATCAATATCTATCGATCTATCTCTCTCTCAATCTATCTATCTATCAATCTATAAGGAACTGCAGTAGACAAAAGGCGTTGCTATAGTAACACGTTATGTTTACAGGCAAAATCAATAGCGCGAAAAGGGGTGGGGTCAATATGACCCAATGGCGGAAATAGGTATAAATGGCAATTTTTTGGGCGATTTCTTCAATCTGACTTCACATTGACAATTTTTAACAACATAGGGTGCTACATAACACACTTTCAGGAAAAGTCACAGACTGGGAGACTTTAATATTTTATTGAAAAAAAGTTACATAGGCCTACAATAAAAAAACAGCTGTGGGTCAAATTGACCCGATGGCGGTTCTAGTGTCTAAAGCAGTGTTTCTCAACGTGTGGTCCGCGGACCACTGGTGGTCGGTGAGTATATTGGTAACATTTCACATTTTAAATAAATTTAAGTTTTCCGCACTCTCGCGGGAATATCTCCGCAATGGAGCAAGCTTAACTTTTCAGGCGATTTGTAATCCGTTCTAGAAAGACAATGTGTTTTTTTTAGTGAGTCTGTTGGCTCGGACATAAACTCTGCACTGATTGGCTGTGGGTGGGCCAGACGTGCATGTGCCCAGGCCCACCCGGGCCCACCAACAGCTATGCCACTGGAGCAGGAAGCAGAAGCGGGGATGCCGGTCCGGTCAACTGGCTAAGCTAAGGAGACAACCTCACAAACCACCGCTACCCAGCATCTTTCTCACGAACGCCAGATCCATCCTCAACAAAATGGTTGAACTAAACCTACAGATGTCTGAAAATAAATACGTACAAGACTGTTGCATCCTGATCATAACGGAGACATGGCTACACCCACTTATCCCAGACGGAGCCATTGAGCTAGCAGGGCGAACAGCATACCGCTGGAACAGAAACATCGACTCTGGTCGACTCTGAGGGGGGTTATGCCTTTACGTACATAACAACTGGTGCAAGGACGCCATAATCATGGACAGTCATTGCTCTTCAGACCTGGAGTACTTGACGGTGAAATGCAGGCCTTTTTACCTCCCTCGTGAGTTTACCATTGTCATAGTAACAGCTGTCTACATACCACCAGATGCTAATGCTAAAATAGCGCTAGGCTACCTGCACAGTCCTATCAATTCACAACAAAGCACATATCCCGAAGCCGCCCATATCATAGCTGGTGATTTCAACCATGCAGACTTAAAGACAGTTCTCCCAAAGTTTGTACAACACATAAAATGTGCTACCAGGGGTAAAAACACACTGGATAAGGCCTATTCAAACATTAAGAAGGGATTTAAGTCTGTACCACTACCACATCTAGGGCAGTCAGATCACCTGTCCATCCTTTTAACCCCAGCATACACCCCTGTCAGGAGGAAAACTCAACCCACCACAAAGACTGTTAAAACATGGCCTGAAGGAGCTTCCTCGCAGCTACAGGATTGCTTCGAAAGGATTAACTGGGATATTTTTGAGGTTCAGGACTTGGAGGAGTATGCATCAACTGTACTCTGCTATATACAGAACTGTGTGAATAATGTGACTGTTGAAAAACGTATTCAGATATACCCCAACCAGAAGCCCTGGATGACGAAGGAGGTCAGAGCTCTCCTCAAGGGCCGAAACATCGCCTTCAGGTCTGGTGATAGTGCTCAATACAGTGCAGCTAGAGCCAACCTGAAGAGAGGCATCAGGGATGCCAAAGCAGCCTACAAGAGGAAGATTGAGGACCACTTCACCAACAACGATCCACGGCGGGTATGGTAAGGTATACAGCACATCACCAACTACAAGAACAATAACAGCACAACGGTTGATGGGGACGCCTCACTGGCAGAGGAACTTAATTGTTTCTTTGCTCGTTTTGAGGTCAATGCAGTAGAGACGGACACAACAACCTCACCAGCATCCAACAGTCACACCCTCACTGTGCAGGAGCATGATGTGAGGCGTGTGCTCAGAGCGGTGAACCCGAGGAAAGCTGCAGGCCCTGATGGCGTGACGGGAAGGGTGTTGAAGGAGTGTGCAGACCAACTTACGGAGGTCTTCACAAAGATCTTCAACCTGTCACTCTCCAAATCCATCATCCCTTCGTGCCTGAAATCTGCCACAATCATCCCTCTGCCGAAAAAAAACATCACCTCCAGCCTCAACGACTACCGTCCGGTAGCACTCACACCGCTCATCATGAAGTGTTTCGAGAGGCTGGTCCTGCAGCACATCAAAACCATTCTCCCACCCACCTTCGACCCAAATCAGTTTGCGTATAGAGCAAATAGGTCTACAGAGGATGCCATCGCCACTGTTCTTCACAGTGCACTGTCCCACCTTGAACACCAGGGGAGCTATGTGAGGATGCTCTTTGTTGATTACAGTTCTGCCTTTAATACAGTCATCCCGGGAAGATTGGTTTCCAAGCTATCTGACCTAGGATTTTCCCCAAACATCTGCCAATGGACTAAGGACTTCCTAACTAACCGCCCCCAGACAGTGAGAATAGGCCCTCGCCTCTCCTCCACCCTCACACTCAGCACCGGTTCACCACAAGGCTGTGTGCTGAGCCCCATGCTCTACTCCCTGTACACCTATGACTGTGCCCCCACTCACCCCACCAACACCATCGTCAAGTTCGCGGACGACACAACCGTGGTTGGACTGATCACAAGAGGAGATGAGTCAGCCTACAGGGATGAAGTCCAGAGACTGGCAGTGTGGTGTTCAGATAATAACCTTGTTCTGAACTCCATAAAAACAAAATAACTCATTATAGACTTCAGGAAAAACAGCACAACACCAGATCCACTGTAACATCAACGGCAACTGTGTGGAAAGGGTTCCCGCCTTCAGGTTCCTCGGCACACACATTGCTGAAGATCTATCCTGGTCTATCAACACCACAACATCTGTGAAAAAGGCCCAGCAGCGACTCCACTTCCTGAGGATCCTCAGGAAAAACAACCTGGAGGAGAAGCTTCTGGTGTCTTTCTACCGCTGCTCCATAGAGAGTGTGCTGGCATATTGCCTAACCACGTGGTGTGCCAGCTGCTCAGAAAAGGACAGGAAATCCCTTCAGAGGGTTATCAACACAGCCCAGAAGGCTGATCACTGCCTTCTCTGGAGGAACTCTTCAGCCAACGTTGCCTCAACAGAGCAGGCAAAATAATTGCAGACTCTTCACACCCTGGACACTTCCTGTTTGCTCTTCTGCCCTCCGGTAGACGCTACAGGTCATTTAATTTAAGGACAAACCGACTGAAAAACAGTTTCTACCCCAGAGCCATACGAGAACTGAACACCGTCAAACGCTGAACTGAACAGTTACAACTTGCAACTGCACTACTTTTTAATAGTTTTATTAACTTATTAACTGATCGACATCAGAGATGCCAAATATCATCCCTGTGTTTTTTATATTGTAAACTGTATTTAAATGATGTGCGGGCATGTATGCATGTTGGTATGGATGTGTGAGCATATGTTTATGTGTGTATATGTTTATATAGATATATATTTATTCATTTTATGTGGAAATGCACTGCGAGGATTGCTTTTTTAAATTTCGTTGTACCTGGTGCGATGACAATAAAGGAATTCTATTTCTAATTCTAATAAAGTATTGTGTGTGTGTGTGTGAGTGTGTGTGTGTGTGTGTGTGTGTGTGTGTGTGTGTGTGTGTGTGTGTATGTGTGTGTGTGTGTGTGTGTGTGTGTGTGTGTGTGTGTCCCTCACCAGTTCTTTGAGCTCTCTCTGTCGGTCACAGAGCTGCTCGTACATGCGCAGCCCCACCTGGGTGCTCTCCAGGGTGGAGATGATCTGCAGCTGAGTGTCTTTGTTCTCAATGATGTTGTACTCCAGCATCAGACACAGAATCTGAACACACATGAACACACACACGCTGTAAAGGTAAACATTTGTTTTTGGGTGTGTTGATCAGTTTTCTCTAAGCCCATTCAAACTTGTAAATCTGTGCTATTATACTTAAGTGCAGTCACTTTAATCAGCTTTGTTACAACAGCCAACTAAAGTTGCAATGATTTCTTAATGAAGTGATTTGTCCACAGTAACAGCAATCTTAAAGCAAAACTTATAAAAAAGTCTTATAAAAGTTATATAAAAGTCTTATAAATGCTTATACTAGTATTTGGAGTTGGCAATGTTGATTGGGCAAAATAAGAAGTTAAACACATCAAGTAAAGCTCAGGTCATTTGTGATGGACAGTCATACAACACAGGACAACAAATGTCTTCACATAAAACTCAAATAAATTACCTAAGTATACAAAAATGTATACAAATACTAAAAACCATACTATACTACAAGAAAAAAAGACAATGTTTATTAATAAAACAATTAATAGAAACAAACATGGTCTTCCATTGATGAAAGAGAAACTTCATATAAGCATTTTAGGGGAGGGTCTGAATTAGGGATGTTAAGATTCACCGATTCGCATCGGTGCACCGGCATAAACGTTCAAGATGCGAGTGCACCGGTTGAAAGAGTCGGCTACAGTTTGGGTTGAACTCGCGATGCATCGATTGTAGCGTCTTTGCATGGTTTTTTTACCGATTCATTCATATAATATCCTCTCATCCTGTCAGCACTCCGCAGAGACGACCTTTGATCTTTGCTTCGCACTACGGAGGCCGAGAGTCTCAGTTATCAACACACATGAGAGGTTTCTCAATACTCAAATTTCCCCTCCTCGACTGCTCGACTCCTCGGTCCTCCGGTAGTGACCCGGAAATGAATTTCAGGGCGCCATTTTGAAGGACATCTCATTTCTCTAAATGCACACCGAGGACCGAGCATCGAGCATCGAGGAGGCTCTCTGGAGGAGCTCTAACCGAGGATACACTGATGGTTCCTCCACGGATGCATTTCCGGGAACGGTGGAGGCGTGACGCACGGCCGGACTTATCTCAGCCAATGACAGCTCTGCATGCATCCCCTGGATATTATTTTAGAAACTGCTTTAATCGCGTGGCGATGTTTCCAGAGAGAACAGCTGTAAGGTCCATGCAGAAAGCAGAGCAGTGTGTATAATATATATCACTCAGTATAACAGGCCTACTCTCTTTATTTGCTTTAGTTTAGTAGATATCTACAAACAAAGAGTCCATATTTTTCTAAGACCATTGCTTCACATAATAAAATACACAACGGCTTATGCTTTAGGAGCTGTAGGTGTGTGTGGTACAGTGTGTAAGTGTGTGTGCGTGTGTGTGTGTGTGTGTGTGTGTGTGTGTGGTGTGTGTGGTGTGTGTGTGTGTGTGTGTGTGTGTGTGTGTGTGTGTGTGGTACAGTGTAGGTGTGTGTGTGGTACAGTGTGTAGGTGTGTGTGTGGTACAGTGCGTAGGTGTGTGTGTGGTACAGTGTGTAGGTGTGTGTGTGGTACAGTGTGTAGGTGTGTGTTGTACAGTGCGTAAATGAGGCGGACAGACGGGTCTCAGTTGGTTTGGTGTCCTCTGCTTACTTTTAATAGGCCTACTTGTAAATACAACTTTGGCCCGTAATTTCAATTCCCCATTTCAGCGACCAGAGAGAGGGGGGGGGGGGGGGGGGGGGATATATCCAGTCTCTGATTGTGTTACGTTATTATGAGAGTGCTCTCATACTTTAAATTGTATATATTTATATAAATATATTTGTGTGTGTGTGTCCGCATCTGTAGCCTGTTATTGTCTCATTATACCGCACTCTCAATGAATTCAAAGTAAATATGTGGGGGAACAATGTTCAGCTGATCTAACAGAGATACAGCGCTATGACAAAACACTCGACAGCTGATGCAGCTGTTGCCACGTAATAATGAACGGACGTCGCTTTAATATGACCGCTCAGAGGAGAGGAGTTCTCATTTCTTTAAACGTCTGCTGCTTCCCCTCCTCGGTCCTCCGCTCGCATCTCCTGTGGGCGGGTCTAAGTCTCGAGGAGGGGAGTCGAGGAGGGGAAATCTGAGTATTGATAAGCCTCTATGGAAGTCGAGGAGAAAGAGAAACACAGCGCACCGAAAAATAACTACAAATCAAACGTTTGGCAACACTTCGGATTTTTCAAGAAAGACGGTCAACTTGAAAAATCGCTCGCAAATTGTTAACGATGCCGAGCCGCTTTAAAGTCCACAAGTAGTACGAGGAACTTAGCGACGCACATAAAGAGGTGACATGGGGTCTGCGGCTGAAAAGAGAAACCTGAAAGTTAGACATATGAGTTAAATCACTCAGTGAGGTGTTCTGTCAGAGAGAGTGGCGTTTAGTTTACAGCAGCCTGTGACGGCCAATAATAGTTGAAATACTTTACTGTAAGCAGTTATGAAATACCTGTTTGTGAAAGGTTATTTGTATTCTTTATTGTTCATATATAAACCACTGCTTTCTGCTCACTGGTGAGTTAGCCTATGAATGAGAGTTCAGCACATCAGGCTGGCAGCTGTTTGGGCATGGCACTGTGGTAGCTGTTATTTGCACATTGTTAATCATAGGCAATGCATCCTTAAATTGTTTAACTGTGAGGTGTTATACAATTGTACTGTACTCTGGAGAGTTTTATGATTTGCTGCATATAAGAAATAAAACAAAATCCTCTGTCGTACCATATTGAAGTATCATTATTTTGCATCGTGTTGAATCGCATCATATCGGCCCGTATCGCATAATGTTGAATCAAATCGTATCGAACTGTATCGCATCGCCTGGTGTTTCAAATGTATCGTTAATCGTATCGTAGCAACGTATCGAGATGCGCAGCGCATCGGCCTCAGTGATGTAGATGCACATCCCTAGTCTGAATACTTACCTCCACCATGGTCTGGTTTCCACGCAGGGCCAGCAGCATGCAGGGACCCAGCTTGTTCTCCGCCAGCGAGAGCAGGAACTTCTTGGTCTTATAGCAGGAGCCCATCAAAATATGGACCTGGTGGAGATGCAGAAGGGGAAACTCAGCAACACCCAGTGGTGGGCCGTCAGGGCCAGCAAGGCATTCCCTGGCCTAAACACTATCAGACTCCCTGACTAACCTTTTAATATTGTTTTTTCATTAACATGTATTACATTATTTTTGAATAGTCTATTCTAATCACTTCTGGGGTCATTTGGGTGGATTTGCCATATGTCTGGCCCCCCTCGGTCGATTTTGATGATTGACACCTCTTTTGAACTGTTAGAGCCAATAGAATCAAGAGGGAAGTTCCTAAATCCATCTAAACATTACCATTGGTGAATGAGTGATGCGCAGCCAGAATGCCCAAAACCGGAAGCTGGGTTGTAGCTCTCACACACTATATGAAATCTCAGTTTTTGACAAAAATGTTATGATGGGTTATCAGTAATAATTGCAAAGTGACACAGACACATTGGATTAACCTTCAGCAGCGTTTGTATATGTTTTAATGCCATTGAACACAACTTTTGATCAGAAAACAGCAAAGGTAAGACGTATTGGCCGTTTTGGCTCCGTAAAGCTACGTTGTGTGTTGTCTGGTTTCGCCTTCGCTGCCCTGAGTTCTGGTCGCACAGTGATGATACCTCTAGAATCTGTGGAAATCAGCTTTCATTTGATATCTTGTTTGTGCAGATCCGATAAGTAATAACATATTTCTACCGTGAGTTCTGTGCTAAGTCGGTTAGCATTTTGTTCGCTTAGTGCTAATTCAGAGGCTTGGTATTACCCTTGTGTTTTCGTTTAGCTAAAAATGGTTCATATCGTCAGTTAGCTGAGTTTCTTCCCGTTAAGTGGGTATGACACATTAATTGGTTGTTAAATATTAAGAAGCCCTGAGACGCAGTTTCGTGAAAAAAAAGCCTGCAGCCTCCGCTTAACAGGTTAATTCAGGTAGGAAACTACTGAAGGCCTAGGTGTGAAATGCACGCTTACTGAAAACAAATAACTAGCTGTCAAATTGGAGTAGAAGGTTGACTTTGTGTATCAACACTCACCATACTGGCAAACAGCTCTCCATCGTCATCGCAGGCCACCCCTCCTGGACTGTAGAGCTGGAACCAGCCATCTTTACCTGAACGCACACTGAGGAGGCAGGAATGGACCTGACGGAAAAAGAGAGAGAAACACAGAAGAGTTTCTGTTGGTGAATCTCATCAAAACACTTTTCTGTAAGCTACAGAGGTCAACCTGCAGAAACACAAACTCACCTCCTGCCTCGGGTCCTCAGCAAACCTCTGAATTACATATTTCAGTTCCCTATTCAGACAGAAACATTAAGACACATGTTTCAAGGTGGAAACTTACTAAATCTGTGCAGAATGGTTTATTATATCTGAGTTACTTACTTAGTGAATTTGGCATGTGCAAGGGCCCTGGAGAGAAGACAAAGAGAGATGGGAGATATGATCAAAACAAATATATTCCTAATAGGAAAGGTTCATGTAATGCATTATTTTCTGGCAGTTGTTGGGATTCTATTCTTTTTAAGCCATAGATTCTTATTTCAAATGGCACTCTTTTATTGTGGAAAATCCAAAACCACTTTCTGTGCCCTAACCCAGAAATCTTCCGTCTGAGGACAACCATCTACAAAAGACATTAGTCACTGTAACTCAGACCTATGACTTTGCCATGTCACATTGATATGAAAATCCTTATTTTAAAACAGTAGCGGCCCTTTGTTCCTGCTCTCTTCTCTCTTGGCCCTGCTGGAAGCCCTCGACTGCAGCTACACATCAAACCCCTCTCCGATCACTGGACTACTATTTTAAATGGGGCGCTATTATTCTTTTTTGGGTTCTCCCTTTCCTGTAGTGTGTTTTATAGGTTAGTGTGCATGTACATTTTCTGCAAATGCTCAAATCCTTGTGTTCCCTCCAGAGGGAGTTTCTCTCCCTCACACTCCCCCTCCCCCCCCACCCCCTCTGAGATAGCACGGAGATAACTGCACCTAGGGTGACCAGGTGTCCCGCTTTGTGCGAGACTGCACAGCAGTTTGATCATTTGTCCCACACATTTTGCCGATGTCCCGCATTTGATTGATAGTCGCCCGTCTGAAACAAGGCTTTTATACAAAGGTGTGTAGAAATCGAGAGGGCTATCATCACCATTAGCTGTGTCAGCTGTCAATCAATCAACAGAGAAATGTATTAACTTATGGGCAGGGCCGCCCCTCCCCACACGCAGAGTGTGTGGGGCTGCATCTTATGCGCAAATGCGGCGCAATAATGCGCAACACAGTTTCCCCGCAGCGAGGCTCCGGCGCTAACAGTCACGAGCCTACTCTACCACCACCCCCCTCGATCTATGGATATATTCCTCCTGAAACCAAAAGAGATGAGGTAACAGCAGCTGTTTAGCCCACAGGGCAGCAGACATGGCAGTAAACTAGATCCGGTCATTTTTTTCTGGTCATAATCATTTCTTATGTTAATTCCATTAAAAACAAATATATTTAATTCCTTGACTTGCATAGTTTGTGCAAACAATTAAACCAAAGTGAAGTGTTGTTATTAATATTTATAAGCTTATAGTTTCATAGAAATGTTTATTCTTAAGGGTTAGATAGACATTATACAAACATTGAATCTAACTCTAAGCAACGCAGTAACATGTCCCGCATTAACGTCCTATTGGTCCCACATGTGGTGTGTTGGCACCTGGTCACCTTAACTGCACCCACCTGGACAACGGAGCTTCCTGTCCTGCAACAGCATACTGACCAGCTACAACAAAGATGACCCAACACAGTGCAACTGCCAGCACAGCACGCTTTTACTAACCTACCCCAGCCAAGAAATTGTCAAATAACCCATCATTACAATGTATTGTTTTACACATTAACAGTCTTTTTAAAACAGAAATGGTTTCATTTGTGAGCTTTAGAGGTGCTGATAAGTGTTGATAGGTGGATTGAGCCAGCCCAGCTGTTTACCCCTGTTTCTGGACATTATGCTAAGCTATTGGTACCAATATTTTTATCTGACTATAGGCAAGAAATCAAAAAAACATACTGTCCAAAATGTTGGACTGGTCTTTTAATACAGTAAAAAATTAGAACTATTTGCAAAAGTTCCCAGCATGGTCCTGTTGTGTTCAGGGCACTCTACAGACGTACAGCATTTGTTTGCACTGCGAAAGGCAGTTGTTTCTGTTTAGGGCCAGTGAGTGTAACTAATGTGACTCCTTATATCCTCGGCTACAGGGTGCTGGGGAGTATTGTTGCTTTTCCTAATGACGTCTGAAGCCAGCGACCAGGCAACTGTGGCGCAGGTGAGTAACAGGTGCGTCCCGCTGTTGGAGAAACAACAAGCGGTCCACCAGTCAACCCTAATGAAGCTCTGGAACAGCCAGCCAATTACAGTAGACTCAGGGCTTCTTGAAGCCAATTAAAGTGGACTCTCTGTGGAGGGAAAAGCCAACCAGCCCAGTCATCACTCCCCCGGAGGCATGTTAAGGTGCCTCATCCACGTCAGAAGAAGCCCCAACAGTATCCTCTGAGAAACAAGTATACATCCCCAGAGGCAGTGGTGCAGGGAGAGAGTACTCACTCTTTAGGAAAGGGGATGGGCTGCAGCAGGCTGGCGAGAGCAGGTCTCCAATCATCATAGTCAGACCTGACAGAGACAACAAGTTGCAAAACGAAAAGAGTGTCAGTATAACAATGTGAAGAGCAGGGTGTAGCCTGGAGAAGTAAGGCAAGAACACCACAAGATAGAGGAGTAGCTGGATATGAGCAGCGCTGAGATGATATTACTATGAGTTCAGTGACACTGTGACAGCATCGCTTTTTAGGCCATCCTGTGGTTGCCACACCTACATCCTGACACAAAGAAACTCACACATAAGTGCTGCTCCACTTTCAAACTGTGAAATACAGCACCAGGACTATTTACCGAATACAATGGGACCTTTTCCTTCAATATGAATCTGGCTTGGATCTTTTTTTAATAGAAGCTTTAACAGACTTACTGTATGTTTGACTTGAGAACTCATTTGAAACAAATGACACAATTATCTCAATTAAGTAACACTGTGAGTGTGTCAAATGTAACCAAGAGCATATTTGGCACCACTGATTAGGTTTATTTTGTAAATTAAATAATGCATGTCTTTAAATACTGTCACAGGGCACGTGGACATTCAACAGAATGCTACTGAAGCAGGCTTGACAATGCACTAATTACCTACTACATTGTTACTTCTTTATTATGAGCAAAAGACTGCAGCAGACAATCCAAAACATCAATCTGTTAGCTTCCAATATGTTCTTCAGACAGGTGAACTCTACTGTCCATGAAGCGGCAAACTCCGTGTGGGAAGTGCCAGCAAATATCCTTTAATGTTGTTTAGGCATTTAACAGGATCATCTACCCTTTCATTTTGTTTTTGGAAACACTTTTTAACTGCTTAGTGGGCAGTTCTAGTTTTTAGATGACTCTTAGAATATATCAGTTGGATATTGGATTAAAGGCATAGGAATCAAGTATATGTCATGATGTGTAGTGATTTTTGAACTCACAGCATCTTGAGGATGAGCGCGAAGCAGCCCAGCACGCGGTCGGCCTGCGCCGGCAGCTGGATGGACAGAGTGCTGAGTGCCGGGCTGACCAGCAGGCAATCGATCAGGTTGGGTTCACTGTCGCCCCCCGATGGACCGCCCTTCTGCCTACTGTTGGCCGAGTTGTTGTTGCGCTCCAGCTCCACCAGGATCTCACTTGAGTTGACGACGGAGGGAGGAGGGGAGAGGGGTAGGGAGGGTGTGGGGAAGGAGATAGGAATGGACGGGGTGGGGTTTGAGGGGGCAGGAGGAGGCAGTTGAGGAGGACTGGGGGTACCAGAAATTGGTAGGACGGTGGCAGGCGGAGGTGTCGGAGGCTCAGGGCGCAGCAGGCGCAGCGGCATGGGTGGTTTGCGTTCGTTCTGCTGCTGGCAGCCATTTCTAATCTCCTTCAGGCTGGGGGAGTTGTCCCGACTGCAGAGAGGGTTAGGGGGAAAGGAGATTATACCAAATACAAAGACTATACTCAATGCAGGGCCATTCAGTATCAAAGACAGCAGTAATAGGAGCCAGGAGAGATGGCTGCCAGAGTGATAAGTGAACTAAGAATGATCCTCCTTGGGGCAAAGGCTGCTAAGGAGGTGACGCTAAGGAGATAATGTAGCCCATGCAAAAAAAACTAGATTCAACTAAATTAAATATAATGTGGTTAAATCACAGCTATATCAGATATATTAAGAGACCACTACAATTATGGCAGCCATGCCATTCCAACGGATTACAAGCCTAAACTCCAGGTTATTATTTAAACAGGATACAACATTTTTATAACTGTTACATTTCTAATAGGGATTACAATGTTATTAAAAACTTAAAAAGATCAAATTGGAGAAAAATAGGAGAAGCTGCCTTGACCAATGACATTTAATCTTTTACACATGGAAAAACTGTTGCAGAATGTTGTCGACTGAGAGGCAACCTTTCTATCACCTGATCCACCACATTTGACAAATTTCGTGTGTGTGTGTGTGTGTGTGTGTGTGTGTGTGTGTGTGTGTGTGTGTGTGTGTGTGTGTGTGTGTGTGTGTGTGTGTGTGTGTGTGTGTGTGTGTGTGTGTGTGTGTGTGTGTCTGTGTGTCTGTGTTTACTGACCTGTTGATGAACTCCTCATAACAGGAATAAATGGCGGCGAGACACACTGCCACCAGGTTTGGCAGGACCCGGGGGTGGGGGCACTGCCCGGTGGGCCCGTGCATGCTGCAACACATGCTGTTGTTAGCTACCATGATCCAACCATCTGCTGTTCGGCATCCCTCACACACACATGCAGCTGTGTACACCTCATGCCTCATGCAGCTTTAAGTCAAGACACTAAAGGGAAAAACTGTGTTTCTTCTCCAATGTACAATTTGGATCATTTGGGCTTTTTTGCTTCCGTAACTTTTTTTTACACAAAAAGAAAAACTTCCTCAACACCCTTTTAGGTGTTTAATCTACAAACACCCCTTGCATCTGTGGATTTATTATAAATTCACAAAAAGGAGCATTAAATAATGCTCCATTTGCATATCTAAACATAACATTTCAGAACAGGCATAATCACCTTAATGTACGTAATGAAATGGTCAAGTTTCATAGACGTAGCTTATCTTTAAAAAGTCAACCTATTCACCTGTCTCCCAGAAAGAAAACATTTTGAAAACATGTTTTGTTATATTTAGGGTCTGAGCAGTGAGCACAATCAGCCTCAGGTCCAAGGACCCTTTGGAAACTGTAGGAATATGTTTTCTTATCCTTCCTAAAATTAATTGCAGTTTTGAGGGCCTAGAAATCATTTCAAAAATGATTTTCTGTGTCAGAAAATGAAAACCTAGTGAAAATATACAGGTCCTTCCACACATTTCAACTGATTGACTTCAAATGTGGTCAGAACCCTCTGGAGACCCTGAGGATCAAAGGTTTGTCTGCAAACATAATGATAGTTTGAGGGTTGTGGCTTTGGAGGAGGCCCAGAGAGACTGGTCAGTGTTATAGACTTAGAGACTTTTAGCTACACTGTACAGCTTTTGGAACGGGTGCTGCTAGCTACTTTGGAAACAGTTAGCAATATTGGGCTGGGTGTTTCAGTTTGATCATTTTAAAAATCCGAATTTTTTGATTTGGTCAAATATATATTCATCAGTAATACACCATTGACATGGATTCAAACATTCCATTACTGATACTTGATTACATGTCTGAATGTGAGCCAGCAGGGCAGTACAAGTTTGATTTAGTGCATGACATTTTCTCACCTGTGGACGAACTTCTTGACTACCTCCATCCCCGCATTGAGCTCGTTCAGAGCCAGGATGTACTCCTGCGTGAAAAGACGCAGTCGAGGGCACTTTCCAAAATCCTGCCAAAATATAAACAAAAAAATGTAAAGAAAAAAAGACAGAACTTTAAGATAACATCCAGGAATCCAAAGTTTTCAATTAGAGATATCACGGGGGGCGCTCCAGGAAATAATTCATACATTCGTAACATTTATATTTTACAATTATTTGACACTACAATTCAGTTGGCTAATGCTTGTATATAAAGCAACTTACAATACGTGCATATAACAGTGAAGATACAAACTGAAAAAGCATCAGATTTCAATAAGCCGAACTATTGTATAGGTGCTATGTACAGAAGTGAGATGTTTGTATTATTGGCCATGGTATTATTGGCCAGTCTAAGTATTGATATATTTCTCTATCCATCATCCTATCCAGACTTTATGAGTAACTACAGGGTATAATAAAGCATTTTTTATTTTAGGTTTACTGTTTAAATTCAATTGAGCAAAGACGGAAGGTCTGAGGAAAACCCCTACAGCTCAGAAAGTAAATCATAATTCTTCAAACAGCAACAAAAAGTTAAACCTTTTGTAAAAAATGGACAAGAATTATGCTGAATATGGAATGGACATGTTATGTCAAGTCGTGGACCTTCTCAATATAACTATATAATGACTGTATGTTATTGAATTACAGTTTCCAGATTTAGAAGAGGCCCATGAGTCTCTTTGCTAATTATCAATGGTCTTTGCAATTATCAGCAGATGTACCCACGTTAAGTAGAACTGACCCAATGTGAGAGGAAGTATAAAGAGGCTGATTAGATTATAATAAAGAAAGTATCCAATACCATTCAATTAAACTTGCAAAACGTTAAACAAATTAGACCTTTCTTAACTGTCAATGCTGCAGAGTCATACCTCCACTGCATGATTCTATCCCACATTGAATGCTGTTTGACAAACTGGTTGTTTGCTTGTGCCACAAACCTAAACCAATAGAACAGCTGTACAAGAGAGCTATCAATGTGTTTGACAGAAAGCCACATTCATACCACCACTGTACCATCCTTGAGACACACAATTTATTGAGTTTTGACCATTTTAAGTCTTTTAAAAGTATGTGTTTTCTTTATAAATGTTTACATGGACTGCCCCCCCCCCCCTTAGGGGAATTCATCCACAGAAAACACACTGGACGCTGCACTAGGTCAGAAACCAGAGGAGACTGTGAAGTCCACCGCAGAAGGACCACTTTCAGACAAAATGTTATATCAATTAAAGGCAGCTCATTGTGGAACAGCCTCCCAACTGAGATACGGGATTGTCCCACTTTGAACAGTTTTAAAGGTCAACTCAAAGAATGGATGAGAAACAAACAGACGTATAATCACCGCTAAATGCACTTTAACACAGGGGTATCTCCTCCTGCACTTTATGTAGCTCTTTTTTCTTCTCTTGCACTTGTCGTTGTTGCTACACTGTACTGCCATATGGTAAATACTTGTGTATGCTGCTCTTGCTCTTTTGCACCTTTTGCATATCATGTATTTTGTTTTTGCTATGTTTGTAAAATGTAATTTTCTTAAATGTTTTATGCGAGGGACTGCGGATGGAAATTAGATCAAAGCTAAATCTGGCACTGTTACGCTTGATACATTTGAATGTTTTAAGTGTTCATTACTGAGCATTGTCCCTGCCAAATAAACCATTAAATGGAGAAAAAAAATCGTCATTGTAGAGGTTCGTGTGTTAGTTAATGTAAGGAAAATTGTATGTGTTCATGTGAAGACGTATGTATGCTTTGTTAATTGGGAAGTTCATATCCTGATAAGATATGAATTACTCCTAAAGACGTCATGAGATGATGACCTTTCGACATCTGGAACATGTCCAAGTTTAGGAGACCTGACAATGTGTGTGCGTTAAACATGGTTAGGGAAAATGTCCGTGTGTCATTTAGAAACCTATATAGGCTGTGTGAAATGTCTACTCAGGGGGCCACTACACCATTTGACTGCTTGAGAGCAAAGGTAGTATTTTCCTCATTATTATTGTTTGTTGTACAACTAAATAATAATTGATCAACTATATCTGTGTTTGTGTTTTATTGATTCCTCTCCGTTTCATTCTTTCCTGTTGTGAGTGCTAAATTGCCACAACAGACATTACACATTATTTTAATCTAGTATTTTAAGTTTTTGGATCAGATTTACCAGAACTTTGTTCCTACTACTAGAATGATGGAATGAAGCAAATGGCACATACATGACCAAAAACATGTACTAAAAGAGAACCAATTAAACATTTGTATCCTTACTACTGTAACAGTTTAGTCTTCTCACCATATTGTGTTTGAGGATTCTCTGGACCACAGGAGTGAACACTTCGATCACAACCATGGAGCGCGGCCGCTCCCGACAGTGCTGCAACACACAACAGGAAGCACTTAAAAGAACGGTTCTCCGTCCCACAGAAACTGTGTGCTGAGTGTACTACAACACTATCTCACCTTACAGAAGAATTCACACAGGTCAGGTGGTGGGTGGTTGTTCTCCAGAAGAGGAGCAATGGCCTGATTACACAAACACACACACATGAATATGTCTTAATCCTGGCAGGGAGCCAACAGTACAAATCTGGGCTGTGGCAAACTTGTAAAATGAACAAGGGAAAAATAATTTAGTATTTACACAAAGATAAGAACCTTTCCCTGGATCAAACAAACTAATACACAAGGGACAGAATATATATATTTTTTAATCAAACCAACAGGAACTTTTGATATTCAACCTCATCCTGACATTTAATATCAACTCATAGCGAGAGCTTCCTACTCACCACAATGATGTTCTCATGATCCTGAGTGCTGAGGTGAGAGTTCTGTGGGGAAGGTGAAGGAAAAAAAAAAGGTTTAAGGGAAGAACTACATTAATTATGTTAACCTCATGATGCTTTAATTCAACTTTTAATCTTCTTGCTTTGTCTTACTGGGCATATCATTAACAAGACTGTGTTCACAGGATTTTTAAAGGAATGTTGACATTTTGGGAAACATGCTTATTTGTTTTCTCACTGAGTAAGATAAAACTCTGCAAGAAGCCACGACCAGCAGCAGGTTAACTTATCTTAGCAAAAAGACTGAACACAGGGAAACAGATGACAATATATGACCAGTTATATCTGATTTTCAGATAAGATTTGTTAGTATAAAATCAATATGATGTTGTTAAGTGGGTTTTGTGCCAGACTATTGTTGAAGTTGCTGTGCAGCTTAAATGGATGAGATGGGAATAAACAAGTCCGGATAGGAGTACATTATTTTATCAGTGAACTGTTGACTTGCTAACCTTCCTCCTCTGCTTTACAAACTTTTAAGCCAGACTACTGCAACTCAGATCTGAGAATTACAAGTAAATACATTCAAAATGTTAAGAGAGGGAAACAATCCCACATCAAGCAGAAAATAAATGGTCTTTTGAGCGCAGTGAAAATGTTGTCTTTGAACCAAATATTTCATTAGAAAAACAACAGATGTCCTGCAGCAGTCCTAAGCAGCCACTACTTGCTCATTGAATTTGATATACATTTTATATCAATGTTGCATTAGTTTTTTCTTGCTGTAAGGAAACAAGGAAATGAATAAAAGGTGTGTGTGTGTGTGTGTGTGTGTGTGTGTGTGTGTGTGTGTGTGTGTGTGTGTGTGTGTGTGTGTGTGTGTGTGTGTGTGTGTGTGTGTGTGTGTGTGTGTGTGTGTGTGTGTGTGTGTGTGTGTGTACCTCAGCCAGCAGGGTGGAGATGATGTGCAGGGGGGCCTGGTGGATGGACTCGTCCTGCAGGGGGGAGCTCAGAGCCATGTCCACCAGTGCTCTGATCTCCTTCAGAACCACGTCCCAGCGGCTCGGGTTGTTCAGGACCTTCCGGTACTTGTAGATCTTTTTCTGCAGGAACACAATTTGGAATGAAAAGTGTGCTCAGGTGCTCCAATGTCATTAGGATTGGTTTTTGTGTGAATACTGTTGTGGTATCTTATATGTCATCATTTCTCACATCTTTGTTGTTTCACCTTGGACCTGTTTATTTTTTTCAAAATGGTGGAGTGAAAGCTCATTAACAGACATGTTTACCTATGATAATGCCTGGTAGGTGCTTTCCACATGACAGTGCTGTGGAACAGTGTTGAGTGTGGAGGAAATTAAACAACCATAGGAACCGTGTGAGCTGTAGACTACTTCAGGCATACTGCTTTGTTTAACTGTATTGAGCTTATTGAGCACAGTGTGACTGTAAGGCTGAGCTTTAGAACTTGATGTTCCTCTTTGGGCTCTTCAAAGTGCTTTAGAATGGCCTTTCAGAACATTTGTAATACATGTGGTAGTTTTTATGTTTACCTTTTTAAGAAAAGGAAAAATAAGGCTCACAAACAGCAGGACACAAATGTCGTCAGGGGGTCCATGACACTTTAATGGGGCTGGTGAAACAAGTTAATTAATAGTTAAAGACAAAGGGTAACCTTACCTTCCACTGCAAAGAATGAAACCACTGGTCTCTCAAGTAGCTGTTTGCAGCCTGCAAAACACACACACACACACACACACAATTTGTCAAATGTGGTAGATCAGGTGATAGAAAGCAACCCCACACAAGGTTTTCAGGTGCCTCTCAGTTGACAACATTCTGCAACAGTTTTTCCAAATGAGTAAAAGTTGAAATGTCATTGGTTAGCTAACCCTAACCCTAATGCAAGCCAACATTAAAATGAGCACATACTTGTACATTCATGTTCTAAAGGTCTTTGGCTCGAATACAGAGTTCAAAAACGAATCCATTTAGAAGATGGACTTTACTACATCTTCACATTTTCAGTTCCAGATAAGATTATGTTTATTCATTGTGAACATATTCACAATATACTTACTGTACTTTTACACTGTACTTTAGAGTTACTGTACTCTATGCATTTATTTTATGAGTTTAGCACTTATTCCGGCAGCACTCTATAAAATGAAATATTTATGCATAAACAACAATATGAGTTAAATTTCAGGAGGAAAAACCAAATTGGTATTCAACAAACAAAAGGAATGTTTACTAGGACAAGTCAAGCCACACAAGATAATGCAGTGTAATCTGCAGTGTCTGGTTGATAAGGAGGAAAGACAAGTTATCAGGCTGGCAGATAATAATATTATTACGCACTATTATTATTAGTTTGTATTATAACTATTGTTAACCATGTGAATAAAACTATATCGAAGCGATTAATCATAATATCTTCATCTATTTTTCTATTTTCTTCAACAAAAGAAAAATTCCCTTCCCATAACTTTGAAACAGTGTAATAGTGAAGAGCCTGAGCCACATGGTTGTCATCCAATCAAACACATCAAACACAGACAGTTGTCAACATTAATAACAACATGTGTTCCTTTCTCAGAGTCGGAGGAAAACAGCAGCAGTGAGTCAGGCAGTAGCCTAGTGTTGTAGCAACATATATAGAGCTATAATATATAATACTCGCAGAAAAATGTCACGATGAGGGCGTAATTGGCTGAGGTATTTTTGGTCGACGTGCATATTTTCAGTGTTTCCGTTTCCTGTGTAGTATTTATTGGGTTATTCAGATAAAAATGAGAGAATAAAAGGACTAAATGTTCAGTGTATGTCCTCGCTGCTTGTTTTCGGACACATATTAAGAATCCTTACTGGAGCTTCTGCTGGTGTTGCCGCTGACGGGAGGACCACTCCGTCCGTGGGGTGCGCTCACTCATGCACTTTCTACGCGTAACATTTAATTCCTATTACTTAGGTTAATTATGACAGTTCTATTTTATAATTTATGTGAAGCACAACGTACCATGCTGTTATTATAATGTTCATTATCAGCCTTTGAAACAAAAATAAATAAATAATATTAATAATAATTGTATATAATATACGTGCGACGATTAGTCGACTAATCGCCTGAATTGACGACTATACAAATCATTAGTCCAGGGCAGCTCTAGATTCTACACATGAACTTGGCCTTGCAGAAACAAAGCAGCCATTCCTCCATCTATTTACAGTGTGTTTGCACCTTTACTACCTGCCCCATTGTTTGTTAACAGTAAAACAATTGATGCTAGCAAAACAAAGTGTACTGACCTTAAGGCTACACCAGTAAAGCTGCAGTTTGTATTAAGAGGAAGAAATGGTGCATGGTACATGTTGATGAGACGGAACAGTGTGTTCAGTAAAGTAGCTTCCCTACTGTTTTCAATGTGATAGCTGTTAAGAAATTCATTTATATTTCCTGTTATGAAGGAGTTAAATTAAAAGGGATAATATACTTTTGTGATAAACTTACTAAAGACTACCATGCAGTGGCGGTTCTACAGGGTGGCACGGGGTGGCAGCTGCCACCTCAGAAAAATGCCTTGCCACCCCAGTTGGCAGCTTTGTTTTGAAAAAAAAGTTGTGGCTCATCGGATATTTATGAGAGAAAATCTCTAATGTCCGAGTGCAAGTGAATGCAGCACAAGACGTGAGCCTTTTAACCCCTCCCCCGGCCCTGGAACGAGCGTGGAAATATGATTGGCGGCGATTTCATTTGAACGGGGGACAGCGCAAAACGAGAAGCATTTCGGATCCAAGTAGACGGAAGGAATGAGGTATTTGCGGTCAGTGGCGGCGCCAGGGTGGGCTACAGCCATACCAAGAGACTAATGGCTTTCTTACCCAGGAATAAGTGTGTGAAAGCTGGGGAAAGTGTTCCTGCAGCCCCTCAATAACGGAGGGAATCCTGGTTAGTTTATTTTCCTCCGCTTAGTAATAAGACTCCACCTCTAACGCCGGCTTAGCCCCACCATGAAAAATGATGTTAAGGTAAGCAAAATAAAGTCCGCCAACTCGCGCGGAGTAAATTGCACAGACAGCAGTTAGTAAGATTGATTTCAGTAGCCACTTGTCTGGAAATACCGAAGACTAAAAACGGTTTTGAAAACTTTTGTCACGTAGTGATCGTCTTCTCAATAGAACATCTTTGATAATGTATTCTGGCCAATCAGAATCACGATAACGGCGTGGTGTTGTTGCAGGAAGTCCCGATACATCGATAGAACATTACGTGTTGATAGAAATCAACACGTAATGAAATAAGACCCCACGGTTTGATGATTGATAGGTGTGTGGGCTGTCTTTCATTTTGACACACAGAACAATGGGGACTATCCTCCCTTATCCACAATGTAAAGTAATTCACACAGCCTCTTCCCTCTTCTCTCTGAGGAGCAGCAGGTTCAGCTTTCAGAACAAAGTAACAAAAAACTAAAATACCATTCATTTTTTTAAATATGTCGTGTAGTAATAGATGTATTTATTTTTCTTCTCAAGAGAGTACCAGAATGTGTATTTTATGTTAGTATTTCAAAAAATCTCCTGGGGGAGAATCCCCCCCAGACCCCCTGCAGGGGTTGGGTTTTCAGCATGTCAACTTTTTCATTTGTGGGGAAGTTGCAGGATTGGCTCCAGGTCGCCCTTTTTATTTACTACAAGACAAATGTGCCTTTTTATTTCATACAGTTCAATTTGGATTGAGACAGGGAAATAATCTAAACCTCACGCGTGGCGTTTCACTGTCAAGAGGAGCGTGTATGTAATTACATTGCAAATACTAACTTGAGCTCCACCACTGTATGGGTTAGCCCCATGGATGTATAATAAGAACTGGATACAGCGTGGGAGGCGGGGCCTCATTCATTCCTATGAGAGTTGCTCATTAGCGCATGATGATAAAACGTCACAGATTACCCGGCATGCCTGAGAAGTACCCGTATGTGCGCTCATAGCGCATGCGCAACTTTAACCAAAATGCTCGTTCACATCAAGCACGTCAATTTGCGTACATGTAACAGCACCGTGCGTTCATGACATCATGGTAATGGATTGTTATTATGATGGATTTGATATTAACGAGGCGGCAGTTAGCAGCTAGCAAGTAATTATGCTAATGTAATCAATCGTTATGTACTTATATTACGCTGTAACAGGATCTAGTGATATCCAACAGAGCTTCATTTAGCATGAAAGAATTATTGCACTGTGTGTATATATATATATATATATATATATATATATATATACACAGTGCAATAAGCTTCTTATTGCAATAATAAGCTACAGGGACGTTAATCTAACGTCGGTAATATTAACTTTATTTAATACAACATTTACGGTACAAGATTTAATCATACAGCCTATGTAGTATAATATTTTACAAATGATGAATTACAGCAAACATGTGCAATATATCCATTATTACAGCTCCGTTGGATGGCAGTAAGGCGATATTGGTCCATTGTTATTGTGCATCCATGGGTAAAGATAAGAGATAAACGCATGTAGTGCTGAACACGTAACAGGAACGTGCTGGGCGGCGCGGTCCCGTGGGTTAGATGCGCGTTCATAATGCAGAGGGAAATAACTCTCAGAATAACGTTATTAGCACATTTTTACAACTTGAGGAACGAATGTTTTTAATAAGGGCTATACAAGTGTTCATACTGGGTTGTTTATTTAGTTTAAAAAAAATTATCCAACGATTTACAGACCACTCTTTCCAATATAAGTCAATGGGAAAAAGTGTTTCCGGGCCTGGCAACCAAACAGAAGTGTAGTACCGCCATTTTGCCACCACGAATATTTTCATCTGAGTCCGGCTCACTTCCTGGGGGCTTGGTTAGCCCTACCATAGATTACCCAACACAAATACTCTGGCGCCGCCACTGTTTGCGGTCTACAATGACAGAGAAGAGCCTGTCAAGTTTGGCTGTACTCAGCATTGAATCAAAACGCACTAAAGCTTTAAATCTTAATAAGTTTGTGAGGCGTTTTGCTGATCAAGATGGTAATCGCCGCATTCAGCTGTTATGCATGCCAACTTGATGCTCTGCTCACGGATGAGTCGATGAGAATAATAAACTGTTAAGATGATGACCTTACGTGTGTATAATATTTTTCTTCTTTGTGGGGGTCTGCCCCCAAAAAACAGTTTCAAGGTAAGGCAAGTTTATTTATATAGCACTTTTCAACACAAGGCAATTCAAAGTGCTTTACAAAAAATGAAAGACATTAAGAAAATGGCATTTAAAATCAGTCATTAAAAAGAAAAGCTAATAAAATAAACATTAAAAGAAAAAATACATGGATAAAAGTTACAGTGCAGTCTAAGATATGAATAGTTCAATTAAAAGCAGCGACAAAAAGAAAAGTCTTCAGCCTGGATTTAAAAGTAGTCAGAGTTGCAGCGGACCTGCAGGTTTCTGGGAGTTTGTTCCAGATATTTGGAGCATAATAACTGAACGCTGCTTCTCCATGTTTAGTTCTGACTCTGGGGACAGAAAGCTGACCAGTCCCTGAAGACCTGAGAGATCTGGATGGTTCATAATTTAGCAGGTCAGAAATGTATTTTGGGCCTAAACCATTCAGTGCTTTATAAACCAGCAGCAGTATTTTGAAATCTATTCTTTGACACACAGGAAGCCAGTGTAAAGACTTCAGAACTGGAGTGATCCACTTTCTTAGTGTTA